GTTAAAATGGAAAAAAACAACCCAGCTGAAATCACTAGAAACCGAAGTGGCAAAAGTTAACAAAGTAGGTAAGATATCATCAATAAAAATCTGATTAGTGAATTTCTCTAATGTATACTTTTTTTATTGTTTTATTTGTGTTCCAGTTTTGTCACTTTAAAACACTTTGAATCATCCAAGATGCTCAACATAAAGAAATGTTAATACCTGATTAATTTTCAGGCAAGAGGCTAATTTAAATGCCATTTCATAGATTTGAGTTTTTAATCTGTTTTCATACTGTTAAAGAAGCAATGGATGCTCTACACACATTTCCAATCAGCTCTGTGAACCCCTTCATCATATTGCTTCCACTACAAGCTGAAATTCATACCAATGAAGCTTGCCCACTGGTCGAGTTGAGAATTAACACCACCTGGACCGTTTCAGCCCCCTGACACCAATTCTAAAATAAGTCAATAAACCTCACTTGACCTTAATAGTGGCAAAAAAATCTCTGGTAGAAAAATGGCTGACAGCTTCATAGCCAGAGGTCTCCACTGAGACTCCATAAGATGAGCTGATCTGCCCAGGTTAGCGCTTTAAATATTTAACAGTGGCTAAATGCATTGGCGCTGCTACACGAAACAAAACATGTGTGCAGCAGATTTAGATTAAAGAATCTTTGACAACAAAGCTAACCACTAAAATACCATGAGGAAAAACTAGTATTTGGAAAACTAGGAACTTTTTAATATCTTAAAATAAAGAGCTAATCTGACTTAGTTTGTGATTTACTCTCTTATAAGTAACATAGAGCTCTCACAAAGCAAATTAAAATAAATGAAATTGATAAAAAGCAAGTTTGACAGTATTTTACAGTTTTGGTCAAACTGTATGAAATAATCAGGATGCAAAAAGGGAACGAAGTTAAGGATAAATGTTTTTTTAATCTTGTTTTGTTTTTTTCCGACCCCAGTTGCAACACCACACAGCTCCACTCTGCTTGACCTCCCTCTATTGTTGTGATTCTGATGCTTTAGCCCGCTGGCTACAGGAACAGCTTTGTTTCTCTTGCTGTTTGTCTTTTATATCAACACAATTACTTATTTATGTTTTCATGGGACAAACCTTAATATTTATGTATGTTATTTATGTTTCAACTTATTTATCTAAAATTACTTTATTCACGGGCTGCTCAGTGGAGCAGTGAGTAGTATGGCTGACTTGCAACAAGAAGGTTCTGGGTTTGATCCCGGCCCAGGGTCTTTCTGCATGGAGTTTACATGTTCTCCCTGAACATGTGTGGGTTCTCTCCAGGTACTCCAGCTTCCTCCCCCAATCTAAAAACATGACTGTTAGGTTAATTTGCTTCTCTAAATTCTCTGTAGGTGAGTGTGTGTGTGAATGGTTTTTTGTCCTGTTTGTCTCTGTGTTGCCCTGCGACAGACTGGCGATTGGTCCAGGGTGTACCCCACCTCTCGCCCATTGACAGCTGGAGATAGCACCCCTCACGACCTCGCTTGGGATAAGAGTGCCTGAAAATTATGGAGAGATATTTGTGCCATCGGTTTGAGCGCGCAGGAACCAATCCGAGCACGCAGTGAGACAACACGCGCGCGCGCAAAACCGGTCTGGCGCGCGCTCAACTCTGAAAAACCCTCTCAACACACTGTTCTCGCGCTCAGTTTCATCTCTGCGCGTGCTCGAATCCGTCTCTGCTCGCGCTTGCTCGACCTGCTCTCTCTCCGCGCTCAACACCAGCTGTGCGCTCGGCTGTTTCTCCGCTCGCTCGACTCTCTGCGCTCGCAACTTCAGCAATGTATGTAAATGAACCATACCATCAGCCAATCACACCCAGCTTCTTTTCATCCAATGAAAGCATTCCTTCCTTCTTCTTCTTCTTTTCTATCATGGCGGATCGCAAGCAACTTTAAGGTGTATACCGCCACCTACTGTTCATGAGTGTGTAGCAACATTGTTTTACATCTATTAAATTCTATTTTTTTATTTTGTATTCTGCAGATAACTAAATAATGCTTTCCTTAATCTATAAACATCCTTTATATTTCCTTTATTTCCCAAAAATCCTTTAAGTTTCCATTCTTGGCCTGTCATTTCAACTACTCTTCTCAATTTTTCCCTTTCAGGTTCATATGTTTTACAGTTCATTAATATGTAAGCATTCGTTCCAAATACTACATCCGGTTAAATGAAAAAAATAAAATAAAATAAATAAAAACACAATCAGGAAAATCAAACAACTCTTACAGTTTCCTAACCATTTGATGGATAGAAGATATTACTATAAAATATTGACATTGACATGGATTTAAATTTGATGTTTTAAAAGAAAAATAAGGAGGATATTTCAGGTTAGAGTATGGTTCAACAATATATAGATAAAAAATATTATGGATATGTTAAATTTTTTATGGATGCTTCAAAAATATTCCAATATTAGGAATGGTGTTTTGTTTTAGTTTCAGAATTTATTTTTAAATCGGGTAAAAGAATCAGTGATGGAATTCAGCCTACAAAGGATAAATGTTTGGGATCATATTGCCCTTACAATGGATTGAAGAAATCGTTCCATTAAGAAGTTTAGTTTGCTCTGATTTTAGATCAGCGACCGTTATATTAATTTAAACGCAATTATTCAGACAGCAGACCTGATCTGAAATTTAACAATTATTATTTAGAAGACCTTTTACAGATGGACTCTAAATAAGAGGGTTATTCTTTATTATATATATTAAAAAGAATAATTTGATAAACAGGATTTTTCAGTTGGTGGCGGTAATTGTTGTTTGCCAACCTCCATAAAAAACAACAAAAAGAAGAAACACCCGCCACAAAAGCTAAGAGTAAGGCCAATATGATCCAAAACATTATCTATATACTGTTGAACCATACTTGAACCTGAAATATCCTCCTTATTTTTCTTTTAAAACAGCAAATTTGAATCCATGTCAATAGCAGGTAAAAGAGATGGATGAGGCAATGATCTAATAACTGTTTTACTGAAGTTTATTTGAGATAATTCAAGATATTTTATAGTATTATCTTAGGAATATTGACAAAATAACTGTTAGAGTTTTTGATTTCCTGATTGTGTTTTTATTTATTTATTTATTTATTTTTTTTCATTTAACCGGATGTAGTATTTGGAACGAATGCTTACATATTAATGAACTGTAAAACATATGAACCTGAAAGGGAAAAATTGAGAAGAGTAGTTGAAATGACAGGCCAAGAATGGAAACTTAAAGGATTATTGGGAAATAAAGGAAATATAAAGGATGTTTATAGATTAAGGAAAGCATTATTTAGTTATCTGCAGAATACAAAATTAAAAAATAGAATTTAATAGATGTAAAACAATGTTGCTACACACTCATGAACAGTAGGTGGCGGTATACACCTTAAAGTTGCTTGCGATCCGCCATGATAGCAAAGAAGAAGAAGAAGGAAGGAATGCTTTCATTGGATGAAAAGAAGCTGAGTGTGATTGGCTGATGGTATGGTTCATTTACATACATTGCTGAAGTTGCGAGCGCAGAGAGTCGAGCGAGCGGAGAAACAGCCGAGCGCACAGCTGGTGTTGAGCGCGGAGAGAGAGCAGGTCGAGCGAGCGCGAGCAGAGACGGATTCGAGCACGCGCAGAGATGAAACTGAGCGCGAGAACAGTGTGTTGAGAGGGTTTTTCAGAGTTGAGCGCGCGCCAGACCGGTTTTGCGCGCGCGCGTGTTGTCTCACTGCGCGCTCGGATTGGTTCCTGCGCGCTCAAACCGATGGCACAAATATCTCTCCATAGAAAATGGGTACTTTATTCACCCTGAACCTAAACCTTCACAGACTGCTGGATCTGTGGCTTCAAACCCAAAGCCTAGTTTCATGTGTTGCGCTTCATAAACATGGAAAAAAAAAATCACATCTGACAAGTGTTAAGGAGGATGGTTCCATAGATACGTTTCAGAAGAGTAATGAGATTAAGCATTCTACCTTACCACTGCCGTATTGAGTACCGTACGCTTAGCTCTGTAGCACCTCCATTCTGACCAGAATGGATTATTCTCAGTTAAATCCCTGTGAGCTTAAATAGCACACAAAGAAAATCGTTGTTATTGGAAACAATCCATACAAAGTCCCCACAGGCTTTTTGTCAACACCTTTCTTAAACTGACAGGCTTCCAGGTTTTTCCTTTCAAGACTGATGCATATATCTTGTTTTATCTATTTTTGATACATATATCTAGTAAACAACACATCCTAATTTAATGGAGAAAGCCTGAGAGCTTTTAAAAGCACAGATGCTTATTTCACAGCAGGCTGGGATATTGACCCAAAATGCGACATCAAAAAACATGAGAAGTATTAAAAGCGAAGGTTAAAATAAAGCAAGGTTCTTTATGCTTACTCTATGTATACAGCTTAACACAAGCATAATGTCTTCAGATCTTAATATTAAGAGTAGCTCTTTCACAAGTTGACTAATCAGTGTTATCTAATCATTTCATTGTCCTGAGAAATGTGTTATAAGACATTAAATCCAGTTGGTAACAGCGTACACCTTCTGAAGCTCAACTGATATGAAATGTACAGACGGCTACTAACCCGAAGGCCAAGCATATGGATGGAATCTTTTACACAGGGGACCAGATTAGGTATTCAAAATGGCCGCGGCTATGGTCGGACATTTGACAGGGCATCTCTATGTTGCTTAAATTAACAACAATCCCATTACCGATTGCTCTGATGCAAGCAAAGACACCAATCCAGATTTGAAAAGGTCTTCAGAAAAACTGAGTGAAAGTCAGGTTGCCTCTTATCTAAGCCCGTTTTCTGGTTGCCATGACCCAGATGACTGATTTCTCTTTTTTTTACCAGGCAAATAATATACAAACCAAACAAATTATGCAAACCCAAATTTAAAGTGGTATATCAGCAAACATTAGAACACAAGCATATAGATAAAACTTGTAATGCTCTGTAGATCTGAATAGCTTAAGCAAACCAACCTGTCGCAGTTTGAGGTAAAAGGTTTCGCTGAAGGTCTTTCGGCTGAAGTACCAGAAGCGCTCGTTTGATGGATAGACCCTGACGAGGGTCTCCAACAGGAAGCGAACAGGTTCCACCACTTCTGTCACCACCAGGTCCACCGCCACGGTCATGTAGATTTGCTTATCTTTAGACAGGAATAAATAGACAGATTCAGTCTTTTTTCGTACAGTGACACGTTTGGTCACACGTACGTTTGGTCTTTATAATATTTGTAAAAAACAATTATTTTAATATGCTTACCTGTTGATTTGTTAGAAAATAAGACGTTATTCTTTTAAGATATATATTATAATAGAATAATATATACATGTTAAACCATCTGCACCTCTTAGAAAGAAAATTTTACATTAACTAAAATAAATTTGTTAGAAAACTAATAATTAATTAACAAATAAACATAGCTTGTTAATAATCTGAGCACAAAGTAGTAAAATCACAACAATCTCAATGGCTTCAGATAAATAACAAATAATGAATTAAGTAACTGTATCCAGCAGAGATGCCACCCCACAATTGAATAAGAAGATCACCCCATTTACCTACTGGTCAAAATGAGCTGTTAACCAGTTTTCAAATAATTTAGTTTACCGAACAAGAATCTCATCAGCAAAAATGACCACTAATATTTCCTTCAAAATGTCTTTTTAAATGAAATTCACAGCTGTATTGTAAGAAACGATTTCAATCTTTGATGAAGTTCAATAAATGCATTTCTGTTAAGGAACAATATCGCATAAAAAAATTATAAAAACGGCACATCAGTCGGACGAGTCCGTTGAGAATAATGAACAAGAAAACTTCACTGTACATAATCATGGAAAAATAGTGGAAAAAGGAAGGCTGCTGCCAGGCCATGATAATCTGATCAATAACTGATCCTCATCTGTGTCGGCAAAAGCAGATTTTAAGTTAATTTGCTTGTACGGAGCATGTGTGTGTGTGTTAATAAAACACTGAAAAGGAAAGTCATCAGCAAAGACAAGGTGAGTAGCAGTTGTTGCATCCCATAAATCTGAAAATGCATATACTGCCATCTCTAAAGAAAGTGTAGTTCACCAATCTACATAGGGCTGGGTACCGAACTTCGGTTCTATTATGGTACAGACCGAAATGCTTCGGTTCTACAGAGTATCGAAACATGCCTCTTCTTTCGGTACCAAGTTTCGGTGATTGGCTGTAACACTTAACATGATTGCGTCATCCAGGAAAAATACACAGGTGGTCACGCCTACAGCCAGGGTTCATGTGTATCTGTTGTGAACTGGTTGCGAGCGTCGTGGAACCCCTTTAAAATGCCCCCCAGGTCAAAAGTGTGGCTTCACTTTATTAAGACTGATGCCAATAGTGCGCAATGCAATACATCATGCACGGAAACAATTTAAGAGCAGAAAGTTGCTCGGTGTTTGACTGCAAGAAGAGCGGACCGCAGCCGGCACAACCATCCTCCTCTCAGCAGCCCGTGGAGCCAGAGCGGAGTGAATCATGCTGCTTTCTCACCGGACGCAACAAGAGCAGCAAAATCGCATCTGCTGCTTCCTTTTTTGCTGCATGTACCAGCTTCTGACTCGCGGCTGAAGAAGCTTTGCTGCTCTGGCTACGCAGTGCAAAAGTGGCTCTGACGCGCGTTGGGCGGAGCTACTCTATCCTTTCTCTGCCTTGCAGCTATATTTGCTGTGATCAGTGGGAATAAAGTAGTTTTATTATGTTTTTAAGTGGGAAAATCCACCTGAAAACTTAATCAGTGCAGTCAGTTCATCCTGCCTTCCAATATTATTTCTGTCAGAGCCGCTCAGACCCCCACATACTAGCGGTGCGCTGTCAGTAGCATCCCATTCAACGGGCTTGTTTGTCTCCTGAGAAAGCAGACATGTTCATTTTTCTAAAGAAAAACTGCTTAATAAAAAGGTCCTCAGAATGTAACAGTGAATATTAGACACTGACTTGTTTGCAACTGTTCTTCTTCACTGAAAAAAAAAAATTTGTAAGAGGAAAAATGTAAATGGAAAAAAAAACAAAGCTTAAAATAAAACTCAAGATTTGTACTTTATTATGTTGTGTAATTTTCTTTTTCTTCGAATTGATATTATAAAACTGGTATCGAAAAAAGTATCGTTCAGGAACCGGTATCGAAGTGAAGGTATCAGTATTGGTACCGGAACCGAAAATTTTTGAACAATACCCAGCCCTAAATCTAAAATAGGATCAACAGAAAAAAAAATTCAATAACATGTGGCGTTCACCAAGGCTCCATCTAAGGGGCCCTCCAATTCAATATCTACATGCTCATGAATGTCGACTAGAAAGCAGAAATTTGTTCTGGAACCGTAAGGGTCACTGAATGAACCCCAGCTCTGCCCATCCACGAAACCTTTACCTACTGATGGGGATCAGAGAGTCCAGTGGGGTCCTTGGGTTGATAAAGAGCTAAACAGCAACGTCAAAACGAAATTGAAGTAGTAATTTTTGGGCCAAAGGAAGAACGTTCAAAGTTTAGAGCATAATAATTGTAATTATGCAGCCAACAAAAAGTTCCACCCCCTAGCATCAAACAGTGCAGATTTGTGACTGATGGTGTTAGTAAAACAGATTAGTTACTAGAGCAAGTTACACTATGGCCGCAGCATGAGTAGCTCTCCTGCAAAACAATCAAAGTTAGTTGCGCTGACACTGCTAATTACTCTTTCAATCAACTGTATACTTAATTCATAATGTTTCTACTGATTGGAGAACATTTCCCAGCGATCAAAACCGCTCAGTTTCTTAGAAGACCCCTTTAGATTAAATAGTATATGACCATTTGGACACAAACCTTTAGGTGTGTCTTCATTAAGTGGCTGGAAAGCTGCCATGTTGGGATTCCACGTTCCTGTGATGATGTAGGCCTTTCCATCCGAGCTCTTTCCCATCGATTCCTATAAGAGAAGTCATTTGATACATAATTTTTGCACCAAACAATAATTAATATTTCATCTTAAAAAGGTATAGTGGAGGATTTTCGTGATAAAAAAAAAATGCACATGCGATAGTGATCGACTAATAAACGTGTGTCAGAGCATGCACAAGCCCATTTCTCCTCGTGAATGCTCTGTTAAAAAGTTGCTTACTTTTAACAATCTAGGTGAATTTGCAATAATACAATAACACAAAAACTGTCAGGTTGGATGGCTGATCGGTTTAAATGTGTCCATTTGAACTCACTATTTCATCCACATAAAGGATCCTCTGGTTAATAAATCAATACATTTTCTAAAGGCAATTTACAAAAGCAGCCACCTACATTGACGTTTGTTATAATTAAGTACCTTAAGGCTACTAATAAAATGAGTCAAATTAAATCCAACTCACCATGTCAAGAAGATGCATGTCACTGTTGCAGACTTTCTGTCCAGGACTTAGCAGCATCCCAAAACACCTGAAAAGAAGACAGAGGAGACACCACCCACAAATCAATACCCACTAATTCCAGGACAGAGCCACAGCCTGCCTTCATCAGTCAAGTTAGCTGAGAGAGAAAAGAAGGTAGAAAATTCCCTCAAGATGTGGATCCACTCTACGACACTTAGCTCCAGTTTTAGCTCCTACTTTACTGTCTGACTGTATCTATGCCATAATACAATTAGTTATTTTGAATCAGGTTTTTTACAAACTTTAAATATCTCGTCATCATCAGAGCCAATAAAAACAGGCCTGGAGGGCTCTATAGCTATAGCCTTTAAACTAAGCTTAGCAGGATTTGGAGCTTCATGACACTAATAAAAAAATACCGTATTTTCTGCCGCTACACTGTCCCCAAACTTTGAACTATGCGGCTTATAAGAAGTTGCGGCTTTTCTGTGGAATTTTCCTAACTCCCAGAAGGGGAAGTCAAAGTTAGAAAGGAAAAAATAAGGGGCTAATTTTCATTTAGCACAGGAACATTCTAGCAGCAAGCAAGATGGAGAAGAAATTACCTGAAATCACACATTTTGACATTTATTTACTGCATTAAAGAGGCTAAACCAATGAAGAGACTGGGTTCAACTCCAGCGCTGAAATAAAAAGCTGATGAAGCCCCGTCTTACAGTAGACCAGGGGTCTTCAACGTTTTCCAGGCCAAGGACCCCCAAACTGATGGCAAGATGGAGCAGGGACTCCCTAATTACATATATTGTTTGAAATTGTGTTAAATCAAACTGGTCCTATAGTCACTCTTTTAAAGATGGAGTAATTTTACCCTGGGATTATTAAAGTATTTCTGATTCCTGGTTGATGGGACAGGTGGTGTGAATGAAACAGTGCCCAGCTTGAGAGAGCTCCTGTGTGTCGCTAATGTGTGCATTGATGACTGAAAGACATCTTCTGCCTCCATTTATCTGTTTACTACAGTGTGTCGAATTTATGTTAATGTGGATTTAAAGAAATTTCAATTAGTGGAAAAAATTGCAGGGGGGGATATAAAAAAAAGACTAATCAACCAAAAGTTTCACGACCCCCATGCAGTAACTCCGTGGACCCCCTAGGGGTCGCGGACCCCCTGTTGAAGACCTCTGCAGTAGACACTTCAGTCGATATCAGCGGCTTCCAACCTGGTGCGGCTTATATATGCAAGTTTACAGCTTTTTCAAAATACTTTGTGGGTGCAGCATATAAGGTGTGCGCTATACTCAGGAAAATATGGTAGGTCAGCGCGTTAAACTCTTCTGATAATTACCACAATGGTTTTAAACTAAAAGACTACTCTCTACAATAAAAAAACGTATTCATTCAAAACTTAAAGAACTAATTTAGGAAAATTAATAACAAATTAGATATAGTTGGAAAATTACTCATAAATTTAATTTTTAATGGAGGCACAATATTGAATAAATACAGTTTCTCCCCTAGCATTGTATTGATGCAAAAATTTCATCTGCAGTTCTGTTTAAAAGTCCTAGAAGATCTGACTACAACCAGCAGGATGCAAATCAAGCTCCCACTACTGTTTGCATGTCCTAAGAGATGGGAAATTAAGGTGCGTTATCGGCAAAAAGCATACAATGTCAACTTTACCCAAAAAAACTATTAAAATTAGAATGACTTTAGAATAGACTATATGACAAAGTTTGAATAAAGTTGTAACAACGGAAACACAGTGTGGTTACTCTGTTTAAATTACGTGTGCAACATAGTGGATTAACTAAAAACAGACATTAGATTCGCCTGAGATGAATAACCAACTACACACAGAAAAGGTCCTTTGGAAGTAAACATATACCCAAATACAATTAAACTCCAAGATTTCATGTATCAGGATATAAGATGCATGAAAAATCTGCTCTTTAGCAACGTCTAACATGTTCTAATTAAAAAAGATGACACACCAAATCAAGGAAATAAAGGCCAAAATGAAAAAAACATGTTATAAAAAAACTGATGATGTTTTCCATTTGAATGCGGGTCCTGTTCACATGACCCAGTTTCAAAAAGAGATGGCTTCATGTCTGGTTGTGGAATATTTTGGTGATGATGTGGTCGACTGTACAATCATAACCTCTCACAGACTGTGGCAGCAAAACAAGCCAAACTCATGGCAGCCATACTTTACAGTTGGTGCAACCTATTTCTGAGAATATGCTGCATTTAACATTTCTAAGTGAGGCTTGTAGAGAACTTTTAGTTGCTCTGATCTTGGGGTGAATTTGCCAGGGTGCCTCTGCTGTTCTACCTGTGGGAAACAACAATTTGTTCTCTGAGGTTTACTCTGTGGTCTGCCTGTTGTTTCGAATCCAGCCTATAAAACCACCGCCAAGGTGGTTAAAGTGGCACCACCGTGAAACGCCACCGTCTAAGTCTCACCAACTGATTAAAAACAATATATATATATATATATATATATATATATATATATATATATATATATATATATATATATATATATATAAAATCATCTCTTAAGTGGAATAATGTTTTCGAAATGAAATAAAAGTTTTCAAAGTCTGAAAAAAAACGCAAATGCAAACTAAAAAGAGAGTGTAGCTTTTTGTCTCAGTCTGGTAGCTACAGAGGTGTGAAAATGAGAAGGGGAAATGACCTAGTTTTTCCAGTGGTACTCAAGCATATAAACATTTAAACAGTGGGCTGCAGACATTTGGATGAGACTCATAAAAAGAGGTCTGCACTAGTGATCACTGTTCATAGAAAGCAGGTTTTTCTCAGCTTTTAATCCTGAATATTATACCTTCCTTGTTTATTTTATGTCCCACAGGGAGAGAAGACACTTCTAACCTTTATATTAGTGACATTAAACCAATCATCCCAAAACTACCAACGATGAAAAGATAGGACCATAAACTTTTTGTGCGCCATTGCCTGGGTTAATGCTGCTTGTGCTCAAAGAGTAAATGGAGTGAAGTATAACACAGTAAAGGTACTTTAATGAGTTGCACCAAGCAGCATTATTCCAAGCTTTTAATGCAAAACAAAAGACCAGGCTGTAAAGCAGATGAAGAGTTTAAAGGTGCAGAGTTGTAGTCAGACAAGGGGAATGCTAGCCTGAAGATATTTTTATCCGAACTGTTTACCCCAGAAGCCAGATTAAGACACTGAAGTCTTTAAGGCAAGCCCATCACCATGTCAGCGTAAGCCAGGCTAGTTCAAAATAGTTTCTAGCTGCAGGGAGCCAGGGGTGGAGAAATATTTCCCCTGCTGTTGGAAGCTCGGAGTATTGTTTGGCAGTACTGTAGATGCACCTCTTTAATGTCACATTGGGGACTGAGACACACCTGCAAAGTAGCAGTGGTGGTCTTACCTTTTAAGCAAGGGGGCAGGAAAGAATGCTCCAACTGTTAAGGAAGGACTAAATAAGAGGAGGACAGTCTAGAAAGGCTGATGTTAATGCTGCAAAGCAAAGCTATGACTGACTTTTGGACCTCAGATTTATGAGGAGCAGATGGATCGCTCCATGGATGTGGAACAGTGGACCAGAAGTAGACTAAGGAGTCAGAATTAGCTTTTTATCCAAAGGGGGGAGTTGAGGCACCTGATGACTCCTCTCCACAAAAGGTATTCCAGGTAAGTCCCAATGGAAGGAGACCCCAGGGAAAAGCCAGAATTTAATGGAGAGAATATATATCCGATTTGGCATATATCCACCTTGGGATACTTCAGAATAAGCAACAGAAAGTCTATTACATGAGCTAGAGAAAATGGATGGATGAGTGGAGGGAATTCTGTGATGTAAAGGTTTAATGCCGCATTATTTCAATAAATAATCCAAACAACTTTATTGGCTAGCTCAATGGTTCAGAGAATTCAATCATTAAGGGACAATTTAAATAATGACTCTGTACTAAAACAGACTAATTTGACACAACCTGAATTTGGAGTCAGTTCTAAGTTTTATTTAATCAGATTTCACTCTCACCTTTCGATGCCCAGTTCCTTGTTGCACAATTGTTGAACAGAAACCAGCACCTTCTTCTGGACCCCCTGTCGCAGCTTGAAGTAAAACTTATCCCGATCTTTTGGCACGGGGCTGGGGGCAACAAGAAGTGTAACAAAATGCAGTCATAACCAGATCTTTACACACACACTGTATGAAACAAAATATATCTTATAGAAAGCAAGCAGGGTTTCATAAAGACAAATGTTGATTTCCAGAGGTCTGCATTCTTAGCGAAAAGTTGTAAGTCACTGAAGGCAAGTACTTTATTTGTTCAGAAATGTATAGGCAAGGATTAACGGCATGTAAACGTCCCGAACAGATACCATTCAGGAAGGAAATGGGTCCTCCTTTTTCCTGATATACGTGTAGAAATTCCACAACAGACCTAAAGGATCTTATAAAGAAGTTGACTGAAGCCGATAATCATCATGAAGAGTGAACAGAGTTCTGTAACCATATTTGTCACTCAGAGAGGAAGAGGCCATGACTCCAAAAGCTACATGAAAAAAAAAAAAAAAAAATAGACCAGACATTTGGCTTAATTTCAGGTTTTCATCTGCTGAGAGCTTTTTTTTTTTTTTTTTTTTTGGAAAAAATGTTTTATCATGTAACATTGCCTATGGTACTACATTGTGGCTTCTTTTTTTATTTTCACTTTCAGTCAATTATCTGAAGCCTTCCCCCCCCCCCCCCCCCCCCCCCCAACAGTTTACAATTCTGTCTTTATTTTTTTGTATTTAAATTTTTCTAAATATTATCATAATATGTTTCATTAAAACACAGAAGTGCAAAGTGAGCAACCATGTGTTGAATCATCACACTAAACAGGATGTGGGTGTGTGTTTTGAAGCAATGTGTGTCGCCATGTGTGGACCAAGTACTTGTAGTTGCCTTTGCCATCATCTTCCTTGATCTCCAGTGAGACCATGAAGGTGTAGAGATCACCGTCAGGGGGACCAGAGAGCGTTTGGTCCCGGATGTCGGCTCGCTGCGAGGAGCGCCGGAAGGCGGTGGAGAAACTGTAAAGGATGCGGCTGACCTGAAAAAGGGAGGAAAAAAAAGTCACAAAAAAGAAAAAGAAAAATTTAACTACATGTTACAAACAACCTCCCTTAAAAGCAAATAGAAGCAACAATTACAGCTAAAAAAAAAGAGCAACAAAAAATAATGTGAAAAAATTCAAATGAAAAACATCAGAGTACAATGGTTCCCCCAACTGGTCAACTATAGGTAGTGCAACTGGACCTCTGAAACAGTGTGGTTATATGTTGAAGTTATAAGGTCAAACTCTAACTTTAAATATATTTGAATAGTCCTCTCTGTGTCAGGTGACCGCTGGTCTCTGCAGGACTTTGAGCTGCAGGACAGCATGTTTGTACATTTATTTGTTATTCAAATAAAGTTCAGAAAAAATATTGTAGAGCAACTTGCTGTCAGTCAGTCTTTCTTTCCTGCATATGAGTCAGAATATTCCCATTTATATTCAAAATATGGTTCATAATTGATGGGGACAATGGTGAAACATGTGGGTAAAACTACAGGCTAGAGGCTGCAACACAATTTAGAAGTTAGAGGTGGAAATTATTACATTTTTTTTGTTTTTTTTTCTGGGATAACACAGCACTCAAATTCTCAGCCAAAGCCAGTAAGTAATGCTTTACATTTTAGCACACTAAGGTTTTAGAATGGCTTAAAGTACCATGTGTAAACTTGGTAATGTCTGCTGCTGTAACTGTAGTAAAACAGGATTTTATAAAGCAGTGACAGAAGCTGAGAACATAAGGACTCCTCACTTAATTTTTTTAAAAGCTAAAACCTTGAGAACCAAGAACTTTATAAATATATCTATTCCTGATTCTAATGCATTCTGTCTTCTGTTGTAACAATAAAAGAGGAGGTTACAGGATAAACGGCGTCTGAAACCAGAGAGAACGAAAATCTCTTTCTGTAAAGAAGCACTTTAAGCCAGCCACATCCTAACGCTGAAATTAAGTTAAGGAGCCTGGGGAGGATGCTTAAATTGTGCTGATTGTGTAATTCTACTCACAGCCTCTTTGATTTGACAGGAGAAAACGTGAATCTGGAAGTCCTCTGAACTTCGGTAACTCTCAGTAAAGGAGAAACAGTCACTTTCCACAGAGCCCTCCCGCCCTCGGGCGCAGAACAACACCTTGTAGATGGGGAAGGAGGCGATCTCTGTCCCTGAGGCCTGGTCGACGATTCTGAGAGGAGGGGAAGCACAAAGGCTGGTTTACTGTCTGTGAAGCAGATAGTTTCCTTTTAATGCATGGCATTAACTTTGATGGTAGTGGTTTTCAGACTAAATGGATTTGAGTCATACACTAAAACAATCACTGCTGAACTGCTTGCTTGTTATGTGGTCAACCATCTAAATTCAGTGTTTTCACTAAAACATTGATCTAAGCTGAAGAGCCCCAATCATCCCATTTCATGATCCCCGTATTTGCAGTTTGAAAAGGCCACCAAAGTCTGAAAGGGTTAAATTACTTGTGAAAACCAATTTGGTTAAAACAGGACAAATTGTTTAGTAACTGTTAGGCTCAGAAGCCTTTTCATCATTCTAGGATTTGACTTTTCAAAAGAGCATACATCAGTTTGTAGGGTGGTTAAACATTATGCATTCAGTCACACACTGCTGACAAAGAGAATTTTCCAGATAAAATATTTTGTACTTGAACCTTGAAGTCTAACTAAAGCTTGTTGCATGAAGCAAACGGATTGTTTTCCAGAAGACTCTCACTGAAATATAAGCAGGGCTGCATAGATAGTGCAAAGTGCATTAATTATTAATAGTCCTTTGAACTTTCTCAACTTTTTTTCTTTACATTACAACAACTTTCTATTATTTAATTGAGATTTTTTGCAAATTATTTTCACATAGCTCCAACTTTATTAGGCTGGAACCTAAGTGAACATGACCTTATGTTTTGTCAAAACTCCTCCATCATTGTAATGTTTAAAGTTTACCTGAGCCATTCAGATTCACATGAATCTAAACCACAGCACTGCAGCTCTGGCTGCCTGTCCAGGCTATGAAATGATACTGTTAGCTATTGTCTATTCAGTGTTATTTTCCAACAGACACATAGCACTCGTTTGTTTGCAAAAATGTAAAATTTCAGGTTGTTTTTTTTGTCCCGCTGATTTATGGCCAACTGCAGAGGGGAGTTCTTTTGGCTTCCTTTAACAATTTAAACTCTTAGAGGTTTTACCTGAAGAAAAAATTAGATATACAGAACTAACAGTTGCATCTAAGTAAAAAATCATCATGTCCTTCAGAGTTCACATTGATGACCTATTTCTCTCATTGCTTTTCTGTCTTATAAGTCATGTTTATGGTGTTTAAGATTCTTTGTTCTCTGACACACCTTTAAAAGGTATGTTGAAAAAAAATGTCGTTTCATTTAACAGGTATGAATCCCCTTACACTATGATAGTTCATTACTAAAAATCCCAGTGAGCCACACTAAGGTCTGTTTGTGACAGAAAATTGGGTTAGAATATGCGACAGTGTTCCAGCTGTGTGCATGCGATTGTAAAGCACTGTTTCCTAATCTATTGCCCACATTATCCTTTAGTGCTTCCCTGTTTTCACACAATCAGTCTCCTTTATCTGACCTGACAGAACCATCTGGGCCACAGGGAACATGCAGGGTGATGGGAATCGGGATGGCACTTTCCGCTCGCAGGGTCGCCATAGCTTTCTGAGCCTCTGCTTCGTTGCGAGGGGCTTTGACCCACGTGCAACCCAGGTATGATAGCTTGTTGAACTGGACGCTGTCCTCTTCAATGACACTGGGACTGGATGGTGCTGGACATGCTTCTGTGTACAGACAAAACACAATGTTTAGTCATACGTTTGTTAACCGAGGTCAACTTTTCCTCGAGCTGAAAAGAAAGGAACAATGTCATCTAAACAGGAAATACCACTGCACCCAAAGAGCGGGAGAAACAGAGCAAAGCTGCAAACGCAGCATAAAGAGGAGGATGGAGGGAAGGTGTGTTCGAGTGATAAAGGAAGTTCAGAGGGTCCTCTCTGAAATTACCAGCGATGTGGAACTTTCAAACATACAAACAGGAAGCAGAACAATGAGCACAGCAGCTCAGCTTCCACTCATAGCTCGCTTTTAGACTGTGGTCATGGTCGCAGTTTCCTTCTCATTCAGTCTGCAGCTGTACAGAACCGGCGCAAAATTATAGTGACAGCACTGTCAGTTCTTGTTTGAATGGTGCCAGAATAGCCACACTGCAACTTAAAATAAGTAAACTTCTTGAAAAGATCTTTGCATTTGATTTAAATCGATAAAGTCATCCACCCTGCCAATGGAATAAGAATGTTGCACATAAAAATATGAAAAATGTATTTATTTATTCTAAGTACAGTATATTAAATTATTTTATTTTAGGGGTCAGAATGTTCATTTATTGTTTTAATTACCTGCTTAAATGAAAGGCAAATGCATTTAAAGAAAGGTTTACTTATCTATAGATCAGATTTTGAAGTGCAATGACCCCTCATGTCCTCATATATAACCCAAACACTAACGCGTTTTGGTGTTTCAGAAAACCAAAAACAGTTTAATGACTCATAAAACTGCTTTTAGAATGTCTTTGCAGTGCACAATTACCTATTTCGGGTTTGACCAGGTGTTATCTGAGGCAAGAGGTGTAAATATTGTCTCTAGTCCGTAGAAAAAATGAAATAGATGTTTACTGATGCTAATCAGATAGCAACTTCAGCAAGCCTCTCAACGGCTAAACACACCCCAACCCAATGAAAATGGGTAGTAAAGAAATAATGTATTCCTGACAATGACCCTATGTGTAACAAAGAAAAGGGAAAACAACACCCTGAGGATATAAACAAATATTTCACATTAAACACCTGCATTAAAGGGAAAGAACGCTTGGTTTCACGGGAAACTCATTGATTTCACATGTTTTATTTAATCACCCAGTTGTCTGAGTTGATAACCTTTAAGATTTTAAACTGTGAATACTTTTGCATGTTAAAATGTTCATACAAGTTAGAAAACAGTCAGTAAAAGCAACTTAAATTGAAACAAAAAGTTAAATATTTGCACTAGTAAGTACAAATGTCTCAACATACCTCGTCTTCTGGCCTTTTTTAGAGCTAAACCTTTCGTTCTCGAGAACATTGCTAACCATTTGCTGAATGATAGTATGCGCCTCTTTCCCCCAGTGTGACACATTGCACCACAAGCCTTTTCATTTCACCTGAAATCATCCAAAAATATAGTCTTGATGCAGGACTTCCTCTTATCTGAAGTCATGTATCACATCTGCTTTTTGTTGTGGTAAACTTTATGAAGCCCTTTTTTTGTCTTTTTTTTTTATAAGGTTTAAAAAGGAGTTAAATTGTTCGAGGGTCAGCCTGAGATAACACTGAATAAAAATACATGTTTCATCACAAGAATTTAAAATTCAAAGCTAAAAGTCTAAACCCTGGGGTCTGCTCCCATTGGGACAGATAAACACTAAAAGTATTTATTTGCATTTTTATAACACTTAAGTGTCTTAGGATATCAAAGAAATTTAGATATTAGTCAAAGAAAACGCAGGTAACCAGAAAACGCAGTTTTTAAATGAAGGTTTTTGTCATTAAGGGAGAAAGAAAATTGAAACATGGCCCTGTGTGGAAAAAAAGGCCTCCCCCTCTTGTTAAAACATTTCTAAGATGTGGTTTATCACACCTTAGTTTACTTTCTTGGTCACACCGAGACCTTATCTCTACCATGCCTGTTCTCATTTAAGAAATCACTGAAATAGGAGCCTTACTTAACAGGATTATTACACAAGGTATTAAATGGGTATTTACATGAAAAGGTATTTATATATGCACTGGGTATTAAATATAAAAAACAGGTTATTGAACAGGGTATTAGAAAGTGCATCAGTTGGATTCATATGCCGGCAAAAATACAAAAGGCATCATCGGCAAATGTTACAGAAATCTAACATGTATGAACAGGAACTCAACTGATTATATCAAGCAACGATGGGAAAAGGAAGCAGAAGTACTAATTTCTCCTGAGGCTTAGATGCAGGTCTGGAGGAATGCTCTGTCCACCACAAATTCTTTAACATGGCGCGATTTCTGCTGGAAAAATCTAATCAGATTTTTTATTACACCAAAGCAGAGATCGAGGCTGGGTGGTTTACAGTCCGCTTGCTGGAGGGGGTGCTGTGTGGTCTCAGCAGGTTACTTCCATGTATTTTGGGATTGTTCGGAGTTGAGGACCTTCTGGGAGGACGTTAACCGACTAATCTGTGAAATTGTGGGTATTTCCTTAGTTTTGTCATTTCCTGCTATGTACCTCGGAATACTTCCTGGGGGACTTAATAATGAGGATATATACTTGTTGAAGATATTTATGGTTGCAAGCAAGAAAGCGATTACTAAATGTTGGCTCCAGCCCAGACCCCCTAACCTGAAGCTTCTAGTAAATATTATAAAAATGATCCATGATATGGAAATATTGACTTTTACAATACGACTCAAGAAGGAGAAAGGAGAGAGACTTTGGGAAAGATGGGATTATTTTATTGCCAAAGGTGTGTAACAGTTAACTTGTGTGAATTCACAGTATTTGGACAGACAGCTGGGAGTTTTTTTTTTTCTATATATGTTAGGAGAATATATACAATGTGATATCTGTAGAGCTGTAATGCTCATTAACAAGACTACCTGCTGTTTGCCCTCGCCCTCGTTCTCGATTGTGTGTGCTTGTATGTTTAAAAAAATAAATAAAAATAAAGTTAAAAAAAAAAAAAAGTGTAACAGTTGGATAGTTAATTTGGACACACCCACTTTCTGACTAATGTCTTGAAAACTTTTCTCCAATGATAGTATTTGGACAGGACACGTGGAGTTCTCTGCACTAGGACACTTTCTTTCTGTAAATATAAGATGGAAGTAGAAGCCATCTTTTAGCCAGATTACCAGCAGTACATCTAACGTATGTTAGAAGAACAGCATTGGATTACTTCAGCTTTTCCTTCCTGGTATTTTTCATTTCATTTTACAAACGTTGGTACATCCTTATATCTGTGACATGCCCATTGCAATCAAAATAACTTAAAAGAAGCCAAAGTATTGAAATCTTATGTGTGCAAACGACTAACTGTTCTTACAAATATCCTGTTTCGGGTACATTTCTGTGGGTTTTCAATTTTTTCAAAATATTCTGTAACTAAAGTGAAGTAATGTGTAAAAAGCTGAAATCAATGCTGGAAATCCTGTTGGGCAACCTTGGCTTTATCTTCACAATTAGCTGTAGCTCAGGTTGGTTTACCAGCATGATTAAATTATTTTCAACCTTGCTGAACTTGATTTATGGACTTGAACTGACTATGGTAAGCACAAGTGACCAAAATAGTCTTGATTGTTCAGTTCAACTCACTGAACAACCTGTGGCTCTTTCACAACCTTTAAAACCAATACATGTAATTATATAAAATAGCAACCAGGTGCCTTTAGGGCCTGAAACTTGAAAGCTTTAAAGACAAACATCTTGTTTTTTTGTTAGTATTGTTCTACAGGTGAGGTAACATTCAGCCATGTTTACATATAAAACAGTCTGAGAGTTCAAGGGCTGACCGTGCAGATCCGACAGCAGAAAGCCATGGGAGGGACATGGCTCTGGGTCAAATCCATCCCCTATTTTCTAACCAAGTGTTGCCATTTTACACTTTCTTTGTTTTGTTTTACACCAGTAAAACAGACAAGTTGCTCCATTCATATTTTTCACTATCGTTTAATTTTTCCTTGAATTACAGAATAAATAATCACAAAAATTCATCAAGCACTCATATAATTTATGATTATTACAATCTCTATCTATTAGAATTGAAACAATTACCCAAATTAATTTTGATTAATCCATTATTAAAACAATCAACTACTTTGCTAATCGATTAAATGACTTTAGCCGACAGGGGAAGCCACTTTGAGTAGTAAGTATACTAAAATTGTAAAAGAAATTTTAAATTTAAGATAAAAAAAAAAACTTTTCCTCTGTCTGTATGCTCTATCTAGAACTAGTTTAACTTAGTTTAAACTCTGTAAAAACTCTTTTTTTTAAATGAACCACCTGCTATCTAATTATTAATTGGTTCATTGAAAGGAAAAAAAAATGATTAACAGAATAAAATCGATAAGCAAAATAATCGTTTGTGGCAGCCCTATCATCTAATAATTGTAGTTCTTCTGATCCATAAAAACAAAATAATAGCTTCAAGGTCGACATTATATAACTACATGCCCTTACAGTCAGCCAGGGTTGCCCTTATACAGTGTTTGGGAGCAGTTATCCGACATCTTTTGGATGCATCCCTGCTCCAACACACCTGAACCAGATATCCGATTTTCCTCGTCAGCAAGTCATCAACTCTGCAGATGTCTGGTAGTAAGACATTCAATTGATGCTGACTGTTGGAGGAATGCATCTAAAAGCAGCAGGATCCCCTGCAGCAGACTACGGGTAGATCATAGAAAATCTATTTAGGTGTCATGTAGCTGACAGCTTTATTTGGCACCTGAAAAAGTTGCATACAAAATGATCAAAACTGCGAAGTGCAAAAAAAGGTGTGAGATCAACAACATAAAGTTCACTTTCTGAATTATTCTTAAGTCAATTTTTGGAGTGACTTTCTTCAAAAAATAGGAACAGGTAACTATTAATTTAAGACTATAACAGTTTTTTCCTTCATCTCCAGATTGCTGCAAACTAAAAATCAAACGTTTCCTAAGATGGCTCTGTACCCATCTATGTTACAAAAGGAATTTCAGTGCAATATACCACAAACAAGGATGTATGACAGAATCTGAATTAGACATGGGTTGGGTCAGATCACTGATCACAGTATCAAATCCGTCAATCTCTCTCAGCTGCTGTTCTGACATTGATTTCCTGCTGCTACTGTCTGAGCTCAGAATGCCGTTTGCTCTTCCCTCTGCTCCCCGGGTGATTCCTCCCTGTTCTGGGCACTCTGACTAAAAAGAAAACATGGGGGAAACGCAGGAGACAGACGCATGTCCACTCAGAGAAAAACTCATCAATGATCGGTGCTTAAAAATCGACCGGCTGGTCGCCAATCGTGGCCAATCACGTGAGAATCAGCCGATTTCCGCGCACTGCCGATTGAACGGTGCAAGTTTGATTTGAATCATCTTAAACTGGCTGGATTTTACAGTTGTTTGGAACTGGGTCTCTTCATAAATGACCTCAAAGGAAGTGAACTGAAAGATGAAGCGTTACCTGATATAATGCATGTAAAGTATAATGACAATTACACTACGGGATGGAAAGGGTTCAAAGCTTTTTGACAGCAGCTACAACATTTAAGTGGATAAACATAACAAATCAAAAAGCACTGTCTACGACATTAGCTTTATTCAAACCCATTAGTGTAAATAAGTGTATACCTGTGGGTTGGGTCACAGGCTCTTGGCTTTCGGGTTCTTTGTGCTTCTCCATCTGTTCCACACAGCTCTTTTCTACCTTCACCTCATCATCATCATCCAACACCTCCTCCATTGCCTTTTCAAGCTGATCACTTCCATTCCAGGACATCTGGGGAAAGAAAAAAAAAAGAAAGAGACAAAATACCTTCAACGATTTAGGGACTTTACCGTACATTTGGTAGAGGTAACTAAAATCAGATGATAATCTAACCTTGGAGATTGTTCTGCTTTATATTCTATACCTGGTTTGGCAAAAGATTTCTGACTAATATTGTAGTTCATGGTAATGATCAGGAAAAAATGGTTAAAGAATTGTCCAGAGCTCGTTCCTGACCTTGAGTCTCGGTCTGCCCTCAGAGCTCTGTGGTGAACCGGCCAGGCTGGACTGAACCAGAACAAACTCTTCACTGGTGACGGTGGCCACGGACTCGGTTGAGCTGCTGACTTTACCCAGTGAGGAGCTGTCATCCATGGCTAGCAGGGTAACTCAGGATCAGCTAAGGGAGACCAGGGGTGTTGTTCTCCCCTTCTCTCCTGTCGGCCCAGCTGAGTTGGATGGCAGCCTGAATGATAAACAAACAGAACCAGGTTATATAAAGTGAGCCTCACATGAAAAGATAAACAACAGAGAGGCAGCTAAAGAAGGTTTTGTTTTGGGGTTTGTTATTTACTGTAAGACTTCTTCAAACAGGCTGTATATCCTATCTGCACACATGTGAATTTCATTATAGTTTTGCATTTTAAACAACCGTTTTTAGTATTGATAACGCTGATAACTACTGCCTATTGTGAAATCATAGTAAAAGGTCATGCTGAAACCCAATGAACCAGTTTGAAATATTAAAGTAGGAAAGACTGGCTTCACTGTGACCAACAAACCTGTTTCACCAGGAAAAGCTACTACTTCCATAAATTAAATGAGCGTTATAATCTTATCAATATGTAATAAAGATATTCAGCAGCATAATTCCTAAGGTTTCCTTTCAATCAAAGCCTCTGAAAGTCAAACTGGCTGATTAATAAGATCACTAAGTTTAAATTGAATCCATTTTATGATAAAAATAATGTTCAAAAGTTTTTTTTGCTATAACCAACACTGTGTTACAAGATCGCAATTCACTGTCAATGTTACAATCTTTTCTTGAAAAGCATGCCCTTGAACAATAGCCTTGAACCATTATAAACTTGTTTTAACTGTCCATGAGGTAGAGCCTTGACATAGAAATGAATTAAATAATAAATATTAAATAAAACAAACTTAAGACTACAACACTGCTCTTTTGATTTTTTTTACATTTCAAAAAACAAAACTTCAACAAAAGATCAGAAAAAATATGGAATAGCAACTGATTTTAAGACACTCACGGAGGTAAATAGATCGGTGGTTAAGATCGGTTTCATATGTAAATATCGGCCGATCACCAATCACCCTAAATTAAGGAAATCGGGGCCGATCGATCGGCCGGCTGGCCGATTTATTGGTGCACCCCTAAAAAATGGTAAAGGATCCAATATGTGTGCAGATAACTGATCAACTAAAAGTCTGCAGAATGTTCTCATATTTCATCCTAACCTGCTGCTAGGTCCTTTTTGGTCCAGACGTATCTGTTTTGTGTGAAAAGTGAAAAGAAGTGTAACAAAAAAAAAACTGTGATAAATCCTATCAGTTGTTCTGCCAGATGCAAATCATGGTGTACCCTGCATTTGATCCCAGAGCTCCTGTATTCAAGTCAAAGACAATAACTCACCACAACGCAGAGGGACTAAATACCAGGATAGAAAAAATGTATTTCAAGATCTGCACATAAAAGTACTTGAGTCCACTGTTTATTTTAAAGTTATTTTTATTAGAGGAAAATGACAAGCAACTCCTTAAATTATGATATTTTCAGTAAATGATCATATAATATTTAGGCTGTTAAGGTGTTTAGTTAATCTGCTATTGTTTTTCAAATCAATTGATCTGTAATTGACCTCATGGCTTCTGGAAAAGCAAGCAGATGTGCATTTTGCTGGATTATTTACACCTGAGCCACACTTGCTGAACCTGTGTGAAACATAAGATAGGATGCTCTGATGGTGCTACATATAGCCTAGATTTATCGGTCACCAAGGATTTATTCTTTTAGCTTTTGTGAAACAGGTTCAACATGATCTATGGTTCCCACTTTCTGAATAGATTTACTGATATAAACACATTTTCAATTTACAATGAACATGAATGAGACATTAAAATGAACTCCTGAAGAAAATTGTGAATCTTATACAATAGAAATGAAATATGAAATGCTAAAAAAAAGTTTACATCAACTCAACTGAAATGTTTTCATCTAAAAAGTTTGACCTTTGTAAACATAAGAGGAGATTTACTTATAATAAGCCAGTTTGCACATGTTATGAAACAAGTGTTAACAAATCCTATGTGCAGTAATACACCCTGTTAATGTTAGAGACAGTTGCTGGCTTATCACGTTGAGTCAGTAAAGCAGCAAACACGCCTTTATGGAACAGCGGCTAATGAAAGGCTGCTGCATTACAAAATTAAAAGCTTCTTTTGAGTTCCTAAATCTCAGTGGTTTACCAATATATTTCTAAGAATGTATTTATTGCTCTGGCTAAGAGCAATAGGACAGAAAGGTAAAAGTCAGTCATACTGATTCAGGAGGTGGAGGCCAGAGCTACATCACTCTGAGGGGGGAAATAGAAGTAGGTTATGTAAACCATTTAATATAAAGCTTTAAACAAGAAAAATTATGTATCGAAATGACTGTGATAAGAAAGCAACAGTGGTAACAAATCATTTCTGTGACGAACGCTTTCATAAAAACATTCCAGTTGTATACAGAAATCCTCATACTTAAGAATAATTGGGAACAATATTGGAAATAATTGGGAATTTGGCAACACCGATACTTTAAAAGTAGAGATTCACCATCAGATCAGCCACAATAAAAACCTGCTTATTTCTTTCCCATTTATCAAACGGATCACCATTAAGAATTCCCAACATCTTGACATAAGTCACAGACTGCTTTAAAAAGAAACTACAATACATTTTTCTATCATAAATTTGTCTTAGGAAAAAAATAAAAGAATTAGTTGAGATCAGAATTGATCAGAACTTTAAAGAAAACCCAAAAAAATCTAAATCTAAATTCTGATTGGTGCCGTCCTAGTTTAAAGAATTTAATCTATTTTTTTATTTCAACCTTTATATAACAAATTCATATTTAGTGAAAGCTCATAAAGACGAAGCCATGCAAGGAAGAATCAAGCAGCACTCAAAAAAAGTTAAACAATTAAAGAAATGTTATTTCTGCTTAATTTTCAGAGATTAAGCAGAAAACATTAAACACAGTCACTATAAAAAAACTAAAATAACAATAAATGTAATTACAACTACTGAAGTTTTTGAATAAACTTGTCTTTAAAGGCGCATCAGGAAGCAAACACATATAAACAGTCAAAATAATTGCAGAAAGGAGCCTTTCAGTCACAGACGGTGGCCTGACCACATGAACACAGAAGGCATTCATACAGTAACTACTATGCAAATGATCCACAGGGCATCTGAACAGACACTAAAATGTCATGTGTTCAAATCACACATATTCCATTATAGGAACATCAGACCGCCCATAAAAAGAAAACGAAACAAGAACACAGCATCCGTTAACTTTTAGAAGTTCCTGTTAAAAGCAACTATTCAGATAAGAGATTCATTTAACTAAACTGCATTTAGACGATCAGCTGCTTTCTAGTCTCCAGTTTATATTAAAGTTTAAAACCAGAAGAAAAAAAATTTCTATACTAGAAAAAGAAAAATCGAAATCTAGATCATTGTTTTCTTAAAATAAGTGATTTTTTTTCTTGAATTGAGGAGGTAAAAGAAACAATTTGCCAAACGGAACGAGACAATTTTCATTTGAAATAAGACAACACCACATTTTCTCATTTCAAGTGCACGTTATCTAATTATCGTATTTTAAGTGTAAAAATACTCATTCCATTGGCAAACTATCATATTTCCATACTCAAATTAAGCGTAAATACACTTAATTTAATAATTTTTTACTTATTTCTAGATCGTTTTTCCAGTACATATGCATGTTAAAGTTTCCATTGGGAAAATGCTATTTCTCTGCCCAGCAAAGACTCTTTATATCTACATCTTAATGCTGAATTTCTTGAATATATTGTATTTAATTGATTTCTATGTCATGCTCTGTTGGCTACAGAGAATGTACAGATGACCACCTCTTGATTACTAACGGTTTCATGTTATTTCTTTAAGTAAGAAGATGACTGTGCAGAGGAAGCACATCTCACAGTCTCTTACACAAACAGCTGAGTCACAGAGTAAATGCAAAACCTCCTGTTATTTGACAAAAACATGCATTACATATACACAAAATTGTTCAAAGAAAACTACATAATCTATTTTAATTTGTATTCACATGAAACCTATAACTCAGAGTGGACATTCCCTTTCTTTTTTAAACAAACATGTTATCATCATCATATTAACTGATTCCACTCAAACATTACATCATCAGTTTCATCCCTTCTAGTCAGAAGTCAAACCAGAGATAGAGCAGTAAGTTTGTACCCGATCATTAGGAGTTGGTCTCTCAAGCTCAGAAGCAGCCAGCTAGCTGACGTGCTACAAGCCACCGCCTGTATGGAACCAGTAAAAGGAGGGCTGGTTGGTAAAGAGGGCCAAGTTGCTTCCTTACTAAAGGCTGCACCTTTAAAGCAGAGGCAAATAACCAGATTCACAAAGTTGTTAATACAGAACAAGAGGAAGGAGCCAAAAATAAGGCAAGGCAGACACCGTGGACTGAATGTAGTTTCCCTGCCATCCAATGAGTAAGCCTTACACACTCTCTGGACTGTGAGCAGCAGTTTAAGTCATTTAAATTCCCAGTAAAAAGATTTAACACTATGAAGCTTCTACTGGGGGGGAAACTAAAATAGTCATAAAAACACAAAGGATTTTACTGAATCAATCTAAGTTTTATCATCACACTTTGCCCTCATTTCTATGGGTCTTTCTGTGCTGCTGGTCCTCTTTATAACATGCTGTGTGGTGTTTTATGTATGTAGGAGCCCTGAAGAACGGAAGATAAGGGAAATCTCATGAAATTCATATGGCTTCTATTCTAGCTGCAGATAATAGAGCCAACATTGGGAAGATAACAGTTACTTCTCCTGCTCATCACGGTGCTGACATCCCTGAGAACTTCATCTGAGGACTTCAATGTTTATTTGCAGTATGCCTACATTGAGAAGGGTTTTAGAAACATACACTTTACATTTAATTTGATTAACAGCAACTCAAAAATAGAGATACACCAAGCCAATTTTATGATGAATTTCACAACTGTTCCTGAAGCCAAGTCAGCCCCAACTTTCTGGAAACAGACAGCTTCTGCAGAGGAAACTGAAGATCAGGGTGTTGGAAAAGAGGCTTTCCAAACTCCAAGACACTAAAACCTCTAATGGTAATGCATCAAACTTGTTGAGCAGACCATTTTTCATCAAACTGATAATAAACTTCCAGTCACCAGATGATTTTTAGTAGACTGTCCTCAAGAAGTAAGAAAAAGTAATATATCAACAAGCCAAACTTAAAGAAATATATATAATTTGTATTGTAAGATGCAACCCTTTTAATGGGCTGTCAACTTTTTTTTTGTCTATTTTGTTCTCCAAAAACTCAAAAGATGTCAAAGTTGTGCCACACTGTGCATTCAAATTTTATAGCGAGGTCAATTTAGAGCAGATGGCCGCTCACACTGAGCCTGGTTCTGCTGGAGGTTTCTTCCTGTTAAAAGGGAGTTTTTCCTCTCCACTGTCACTACAAGCATGCTTAGAGTGAGGGATTGCATATGAGTCAATGAGTCGATGCAATAAACTGGTTTTCCTTATATAGAAAACTGAATCAATTTGACTGTATGATCTGGTGAACTTTAAAGTGCCTTGAGATGACTTGTGTTGTGAATTGGCGCTATATAAATAAACTGAATGGAATTTAATTGAAATAGAGCTGAAACAATTATTCGTGATTAGATGATTATTGAAACACTCATAAAGTAAGTAAATAAACTTTATTTGTATAGCGATTTTCACAGACAAAGTCAAAGTGCGCTTCATATGATAACATAAAAACAACAAAAGTAAAAACAGATAAAATGCAATAAAAGCTAAAATAAGTAAGTGAATAAAACAATAAGCTATGTGCTTTGGAAGGCTAGTGAAAACAGGTGTGTTTTTATAAACTAATCTAGTAATGAATTTATCGTTAATTAGAGTATATAGACTCTAAAACATGCTTTTAGCTGGCAGAGCAACCCACTTGGAGCAGTAGTTTTAGTAATTTTTAGTAATTTTAATTTTTAACAAGATTGTAAAAAACATATTCAGTATAAATATTTTGGACTCGAAAAAAAAAAAAAAAACGCTTTCATCCGTTTTAATTCTTTGAAAAAAAATCTTCTTTAAGGAACCATTGGCTAACCAATTATGAATCGAGTGATTGGAAAAATAATTAAGAAAAATAATTTGTTTGTTGCAGCCCTAATTTCAAATATCACTTGTGTGACTCTAGCCGACAGGGTGCAGCCAATAAATGTTGAGCAATAACCTATAGTATTTAGAGTGTACATTCGAAAGCAACATACAATGAAATCTATAGTGGACTTTAAGTTGATCATTAACAGCTTGAAAAAGTGCAAACACAGAGTCACTTATTAAGCAAACATTCAGATCTGATTTTTCCTGATGCAGTAATCAGCAAAGATGCATTTAAAAAGACATTAAGGAAAAGAGATGATACATTAAGGTTACATTTTCTTGAACTGGTAAAAGAAAAGGATATTTTAGGCAGAGGAAATCTGCTTGGCTGCTTCTTTTAAATTTTACCCTGAGATTCCCTCATTATTCCGGCTAACAACATGAACTACCATTAAACACCAAATAACTACACTGCAAAAATACAAACAGTCACCTTAGGGCTAGATAAGTGCTTGCTGTTTTAATTAGAGTCAGGTTGAGTTTTGTTTTTATGTGCACTGTGCCGTGCTTATTTTCAGAATTTGAATCTTCTTCCTGGTAGTCAGTACCTCTGAAGCATAAAACAATAGCATATTATTCTGGTAGAACTTAAAAAAGGTGTACTTAGCTGTCTGAATGAGTAACCCTTTTCAAGAATAAGGGTGTGACGGTACTTCTAGGATAAGGAGGTAATTCTACTCTATCATATTACAAGCAACTTGTCTTGCACCATCCGGTAAGCTTACATTTACCTATTACCTACAACCACTTTAAAATCTGCTTTAAAATAAAAATGTTTCCTACCACAAACAAAGCCTAAAATAAGCTATGAAATTTTGTCTTAAGAAAAAGTATGATCTGACTTCTGTAAGTGAATAACTTCCCTTAAGGTCCACCGAAAAACTTTGTACTTCATGTTAATATTCCTTTTAGTTGTATTAGTTCTATTACTTATATATAGTTAAATATTTTAATCCCTGTTAGTTCTACCAGTAAATAAACTGCTTAAAACCAGTAAAAAATTCATCTACAAATCACTGGTATCATAGGTATGATCTGTAACCATAAACATAACTGTACGTTATATTAAAAATAAAATAAACATCCTTATTGCTTATGCATTTAAAAACAACTTAAATCTTTGACCTTAACTGTCAATGTTTTGCAGCTTTACACTAATTAACTCTGCCAAGCTTATTTTGGAAAACTTTTCATAACTTGATGCTTAAGAAAACGCTGCCACTACAGGGCAGCTGATCTGATTTAATGAGTAAAGAAAAGGTAATAATATAGATAGCACATGACTAATAAGCGAGCTGCTCAATGGTGCAGTGGGTAGCACTGCTGTCTTGCAGCAAGAAGGTTCTGGTTTCGATTCCCTACATGGAGTTTGCATGTTTTCCCTGTGCATGCGTGGGTTCCCCCCCGGGTACTCCAGCTTACTCCAAAAACATGATTGTTTGGTTAATTGGCTTCTCTAAATCAGGTGTGAGTGTGTGCATGAATGGTTGTTTGTCTGTGTTGCCCTGCGATGGGCTGGCGACCTGTCCAGGATGTACCCCGCCCCTCATCACCGAAGAAAACTGGAGTTAGGCACCAGCAGCCCTTGCGACCCCGCTTTTGGATAAGTGTGATGGAAAATGGATGGATGGACGGATAACTATTGAGCTTTACAATCATCACTGCTCCCATGTTTAAAGAGGTCCCACCCCAGCTATTTAAGCATTTTTATGTCAACTCATTACAGCAATGCATTTATACTACTATGCTCAATGATGGAATCATATTTAGAAAGATAGCCTTAAAATTCTTGTTTTAGGGGTTCAGGGAATCATACAGCTATTTAATAATCAGAGAAGGCATAAAGAATGACAACATTCCCTGATCTCCAACTATTGGAAACAAAACCATAGCTTATTTACAGCAAACCAAAGATAACAACGTAATCATAAATCATATTCTTTTGAAGTAAACATAGAAAACAGTCATAAAAAGTATTCCAGATACAGACTGACCAACTGATCAAAAATTATAATGTCTTGTTCTGGGGTTTTCCTTTTACCGATTTAACGGTTTCAGCAGGATGTGCTCTAATGCACTAATGTGAGTTAAAGTGAAAGGAAAACAAGCTTTGTTATATGGGAAATTGGATTTGAACTTTTGGTTTTGAAAACACTGCTCCTTTTAAATACTCATGCTTTTTATTTATGTGTTATAATCCTTAACGTATCAATCTGAAAAACAAAACCCATTCAAAACTGAATCAGTTTATAGAAAACAGAACCCTGCATCAGTGAGGGAAAGTTTGGTTGATGCATGGCTGGTTGTGAACTGTCAAGTATGTTTATTTAGTCATCAATAGAATAACATTGGCTCTGGTTCACAGACAGTTTGACAACGCCTGCCTGCAGTAATATCACTGGGATGAAGTGTTTCTAAAACATCTGGAAACCCTTTTTTTTAAAGCTTTTCAGCTATAAAAATTTAATCAACCACATTTTCATTAAACCCCTTCTGAGCTCACATATTTAATGACAGCTTCCGTGTAGTGCCATTCAAGCAGGTACATGAATGAAGGCTTAGTGATTTTCACGTGACAATGTTGTTGTCAACTGTCCAACTTAATGCATACGTTGAAAACTGTTTTTATGTCAACAGGCCTGGATGGGAGGCAGTGTCACCAGCTGACTGGCTGCATTTAACATGTTTTTCTTTGTGCTGTGTAACGTAACAAGTGTGCAGAGAGCTAAACAGCGTGTTATTCATGCAAGACATGTCTTCTATATCATTCAATAATATAGGGACAGTTTGCTCTTGCAGCACCTGAGTGAGAGCAGAAAGCACAGCAGCGAAAATAATTAGCAAGGAGCAGGCTAACTTATAAAAAATAAACGTTTTTGTTTTTTCTGACGTTTCTTTCAAAAGGCAGCTTTAAAAAGCCGAAGTTCCTAAATGAATAAGCTGTCAGAGCAGGTGAATGCGGTGTAAACAGGAAGTACTTGTGTTAATGTGCTAGGCTACAACTGAGAGCTAAAGCTAACTTTGGCTAATGCTAACCAGCCTGAAGTCCAAAACAGTTGGAGCACTGTGAGGCGAAGCAAGCCTTTTCAGGAACACCCCGCCCGCCCCGGCTACGGATGGAAAACCCGAGAGCGAAGAAATGAGACGAGTCTCCATCTTTATCATTGCGCAGAAGTAACTGTAGCTAAACCAAAGGCAGTCGATTTGAGAGCTGTCAACTTACTTAAATCTTTGCGGAGTTGCTGGTTTTATGTCCAAAGAGTTGCAGCGAAGATCGTGTAGTTGTCAAAGATGAATTACTCCGGAGTTTTATTGAAGGGTTTCCGGTGTCATCTGTTGCGCATGCGCGACGTATTCAAATTCTGCGCGGTGCAGGGATTTCGAGTTGTTAAACAGAGAAAACGCAAACCTGAAGTGAATATTTGATAAATTGTCTTTTTTTTTATCCCGTCTCTACAAATTAACAAATAGCACCATTTTTTTAGCATGTCATAATATGGTATAAGGGTAGGAACGTATTCATACTGGAAAATGTTGTAATTCAGCAGCTTATTTAGTCTCCTATGCTATTGCATAAAAATGAAAATCTGAATTTATATCACATTTTGATACTGTAGGGATCTCTATCACCAATAGTATAATGCTGTATTTAGAATCATTATCTGTGTCATTTTCTACTAATATGTTTCTCAAGGTGCATAGACACAATAATGTTTAAGAAGAAATATAGGGACATGTCCATCCAACATGCATAGATCAATGAGCCCTAGCTGCTCTGTGGGCTTTTTGTTTTTGTCCACAAGATAAGGAGTGTCAAAAACCTAAAAGCTGCATTTTACATTCATTTCCTAGCTTGAAAAACATTTTATTGTACATGCACAATGGCTCATTATACAATTAAAATTTTATTTTGTTTACCACAGCTTCTCCTACTCTGGTGAAAAGAAAAAGAAAACAACATAAGTCCACTACACTGCATTTATTCTATAGAAATCTTTTACATAAACAGGGCAGAGCTAGATAGGGGGCCAGCCAATCATTGGCCATCCCTATAGCCACCCTACTATATATATTTATACCATATTCCCTCTAATACAGATGGTGGCAGCAGTAATACTCTCAAGTGGAATATTCAAAACATTTTAATTTTTTGTGGTTTATTCTGCACATCAATATACTAACATCAAAGATGATAAGTACAGAATTCACGCTCTTTTCAGAACTACATTTAGTGTTATATGGGGTAAAATGATAAAAAAAAATAAAATGAGGTGTCTCTGCAAGTCATCTAGGAGTCTTCAGTGAAAAGTCTTCAGTGAAATCACAGATAAATAACTATTTTAGAGAAAACTTATTAAATAATCAATTTATGTAGGTATATGTACTTGTAAATATCAATTTTATGCAGAATGATTAATGATAAAAGTAGGTTAGTAATGACAATGGAAAAGATGTTCGCCCCCGAAATCAAACCTGAAAGAACTTTATCCACTGTACCTTTTATCTAGAAAGCATGAATGTTTAAATATATGCGTCTATTTGTTAGCGAAGGCTGTAGGAAAGTATAGTTTGTCTTTATTTTGAGAATATGGATGTTTTGCTTGTTAATTTTCCTGTTGGAATAGTGTAGATTGACCCTGAGGTGTTTTTTTTTTTTGTTTTGTTTTTTTACAGTGTCCTGTCTGGCACTGTGGCAATAACAATAATTGTATTGAGAACTAAAAAGAGCCCAACAGATTTTGATTTCACAGTAGAGCAGTACGGCTATCGCCATAGTGTTCTGTTTGATTAATGCATATAAATAGCTTTAATATTATTCATGCAGATTATAAGGACAGTGTAAGTAGAATAGGAACCGGAGAAAAGATGAAAGAAAGAGGAGACAAAAGGGAGACAATGATAAAAATGTCTTCAGTCTGCTTCATCTCTTAGAAAGAGATGTAAAACGAACAATACAACCAACGGATATAGTATTAGAGATACAATGACCCTGGGGTTCTGGTGTCTATCCACTTTCGGCCACCCCTCAGTGTACACTGGTTATTGTCTGGCCACCCTTATAAAACTGTTCTGGCTACGCCTCTGCACATTAATTGCATGACAGTTTAACCTGAATAACTAACAAAAACAAAAAAAGAAAGAACTTTATTAATGCATATTCACGCATCATATTGCTTGGATTATTTGTGAAGATAGTGTTTATTATTGCGAAGCATTTTAGATTAAAAAAAAAAAAAAAAAAAAAAAAAAAAACATTGAAATTTGATGCTTATATAATTTTGAAGCTTTTTAGATATGGATAATCAAATGTACGATTTAACCTGAATACATCATGGTGCCGTAAAATGTTCAGCAGTGGAGCAGCTGCTAGGGAGTTTTTAAGCCGTTTCCATAGCTACGCGACCAGAGCGTACGGAAGACAGTGGAGGAAAAGACCTTCTCTGTTTTTACGGAATGTTATCTCTGATAATCAACCTGCATTAGCTTCTCGCCTTTATTGCTTGGTTATAGTTTAGAAGTTTTGTTTATATCAGATGATTGTATTTAGATGAGGATGTCCCTGTCCACTGCCAGAGACCGTTCAGCTCCGGGTTCACGCAGAGAACAGCGAGCAGACGGTAAATTATTCACATCCATCCGCTGCTGGTGGCCCACCAGGGCTCCGAAGTTTTAGAATTACCAGGCTTTTTTTTTTTGTTTTTCAGTTTCATAAAGAGTTTATTCAACCTCTGTTTCTTTCACCATAGTAAAATTCTTCAGTAAACTGAAGCCTGATCAATTCAGATTTGAGTCTGAGTTTGTTAAACCTGCTTTGTAGCCTCACTGCTGCTCAGCAAGTATCAAATCTAAAATTGGACATGAATGCCACACTTCGAATAATATTTTAAAGGGTAATTATAAAATACATGTGCAAGAGGATTAGGGCCACTGGATTAAAAAAAAGGTATAAAATGCGAAAAAAGTCAGAATTCGGACTTTAATCTCAGAACTCTTGACTTTTTCAGAATTCTGACTTTAATCTAAGAATTCTCATGTAATAAGTCACCTAATTCCGTCATTTTCCACTGATGTGTTAAAGTTCCTCCCAAACAACTCACATCTTTGTCAGTAAAGCTGAATGCTCCCACACCTCTTCCTTCATGGTGCCCAACTTCATTAAGATCCAAAATTCTGAGATTAAAGTCAGAAATCTGTCTTTTTTCCATATTAAACTGAAATAAAATAAAAAAAATCTGTTAACTTTTTTATTTTTTCAGTGGCCCTAATCCTCTTCCCTATAAATTAATGTTAATTGGGGCTATATAAATAAATTGCATTGAATTAAATTAAGACCAACATGTGCTTTCTTTAGCAGGCTACAAGTATAAGTATGTGGATAAAAATTTTGGTGGCTCCAGAGCCTAAATATTTGGTGAGTTAGAAAAACACAACTTTAATGTATTACTTAGAAGTAAAATATACTGTAGTTTGATGAAGCTACCTATAAATATTCCTCTTATTCTAAATCATTCTCAAAATGTAGCTCTTTAAAACTAAACTCTGCCACTAACCCACAGCAAATGGGCCTAAGGTTTCAATATCAGTCTGGGCTGTTTATGCAAATAGTTTTCCCACAATCCCAAAAGAATAACTGTCAGGTCACAATAATTGGTCACTCTTAATTGTTTGTTTGTGTGCATGGATGTTGTTTTTTTTTATTCCTGTGTCTCTGTGTTGCCAAGGTGCAGCCTGCTTACCCAATGACTGCTAGAGATGGACACTTGCAACGATAAGCTGGTTTATTAAAAGAATGGATCTCTGAGGACTTTTTAAGTTTGTTTATTTCATTTGTTTTAAACTACATTTGGCTATCTTTACTTCAAAATCTAACATATTTGGTCTGATTGAACAAATTCTTCACCTAGCACGTTCTTAAATATAAACTTAAGATATATAAGCCAAAACAAGCCTTTGTTTTGGTCCACTCTATAAAGCCTCAAATTCAACGATATTTCTGATGTTTTGAATTGAAAAAGCTTCCTGGATGGGAAGGGAAATGTCTTCAAACTTGGAAACAAAGTCCACTGTATTTTTTTACTTTTTTCTAAAGATATATACGACTGGTATTCTTTATAAAATCACAAATAACAGAGTCATACTCACTTTTTGTATTCTTTTTCTTAGAGGCTGACCTGAACCTCCAAACTCTGCTGGGGATCAGGAAGAAGCAACCACCTACTGTCAGACCTTCCAGCATCCCAGATGAACTGCTGCTCAGCTTCACCTCCACGGTCTCCAGCAGAAACACACAGGGCCACACTGCACATCACCGGAACTGTGAAGTACTGATGTCTTTCCACTTTAGATAACACATTGGGATTTATACACAGTTGTTTAAAGTTCAGTTTTCTCCTTCAACTCATTAAAAAAAAGAGTAATTTACATGTTAGTTGTTCATATTTGTTATTCAATATAAAGAAGGTGTCACACAGCTGATAATACTTGGCAAAGGCTGAAGAAATCAGCAGAATATTCCCATATTTACATGTTTTTCTGCCCAAAGTATCGCTTCATTAATAAGCATTCAATGAATAATTTGTTTGTATTTACTGCCCCCTCCTGGCCATTTTCTTTACTCTGGTCTTCTACTGTAGTTTTCTCCTTTAGGGCTCAATTTCAGTGACCCCGATATAAATATATATTCTTTGTTACATTATTGTTTTAATATTGAACAGACTTTGATTACAGACAAATATGACTTGAGTTAATACAAATGCAGTTCACAAACGATTTTACTTATCAGATGGGAAAAGTTATCCACATTGACCTGGCCCAGTTCAATAAATAATTCCCTTAACCCAATAACTGAGTCTCCTCCCTGTTGGCTGCAAAAACTGTTATGAAGTATGTAAAATAACCGAGTGAGTGTTTGACACCATGATGGAGGAACGTTGGGCCCTTTCTTGCAGATTCAGTCAGACTTTCAAGCATAAAAGATTTGTTTATGGTGGTACTACAACACCTTCATCTGATTTACTGTAACTCCACATCTGCCCGGGCCACTTTAAAAGTTGGGAATTGCATGTAGATCTACTGGTGCTCTTCGTATCATTGTTTTTCTAAATTGCCAAAATGTGTTTGTGCCTGGAGTCATATTTATGGTCCCACCATTACTAGAGATCAGGAACATGTGAAACAGGCCTTTGAAAATTTACCACCAAAACTTAGAAACAGCTTTGTAAACTTTTCCAGACTTACTATCAGTCATCTGTTCTTGAATTTTTTTGGCTCTGGTCGTGACTTATTGCTGTCTGACGTGTTCAATACCTTCGATTCTACTGTTCTGACCAGAAAT